TAATAATAATAATAATAATATGCCTTTATTAATATGGCGAGGATCGGGCCATCAGGCCCGCTCTTCCGTCTAACCACATGTCATAAATATATACAGTAATGTAGTAATAGTAAAAGTACTGTTATCTTAATATTTAAATGTAATGTAATGTAATTGTTTTGTAATTGTAATGTAAAAATTGAAATGTAATGTAAATGTTTGTTCTAATACGAACGGCGGATAGTTGAAATCTTGTAACGGACGCCGGCCTTTCGTTCGTCTTGTTGCTTTATATTGACATAATAGAAAGACGTATCACGAAAATAATTTACTTTCGGTTGCAGTTGGACGCCTTCTACAATGTAACCAACGCCGATGGGACCCGCATGGCGGGCAATGCTCGCGATCTTCAAGCCATCAATGGCCGCACGATCACGTACCACCGCTGCGTGCTAGTGGCGCACTGGCGTTTCTTCTGGTGGTTGTGGTAAAGCATTACCCATACGATACTTTCGCTGTAAAAAAAATGAACTCCAAAAATGCGCAACAAACCAAAAATTTAGAAAGAGGGGCGTAAGAACACTTTGAACACTTACGTTCGCTGGTAACATGAGTCCTTAACAAAAAAATTAAAGGTTTTAATAAAAAAATGTAATTTGTATAATTTTAAAGATATTTCAATTTCTCTTTTTTTAAATTTTTGAATTGAAACATTTTGTTACTTTCTGAGAGATATTCCATTGAAGGAGGAAGATACAATTCATTGAAAAACATTCCTCATATTAATACATCAAAATCTGTTTGTTCAATAGAATTATTGAATATCACAGTATTCAATTTTGCCCTGAAAATAAGGGATTGAATATTGTTCATTGATGTAAAATGTTTTGCGTTGATGTGAATTCATATTGTCTGAATAATACTTGACCGATTAAATCCTTATCGAGATTGATAACTTCTATTAGTTCCAAGTATTGAGTTACAAATATACTGTCTATAAGAAACACTACAAAAAAACAATGTTTTTATGTATTTGAAGAGCGGAATACATGTAAATTAGCCGCATGTAGTCCCGGGTTCGATGTTGTCTCGTTTCAAATGTTTCTCTTTCAACTGTACTTGAATCACACACGTCACAACTATATTATGTGAATCAGAGTTACGTTCTGTAGTATAGAGAGATGACTATAAGAAGGGACGGCTTTGGAAGGTTCTAGTTGGTCACTGCTGTCAATATCACTGCAAGTTACGTCCATACACTCATTTTGTCAGTGCAATAGTGTACAGTTAGCTCATTTGCAAATGACTTCATCACTGCCTCTTGCAATGTCATCGTCCTGCATGATGTTCATTTGTTTCTCGACCTGACGAAATGGTCCATATTTAGAATAACTCCTCTATACACAGGGGCGTAGCCAGACTGATGCTACCAATGCACAGGGTCCGCCTGAAGAAGGACCTCCGACACTCATTGGTGGGCGGAGTTCCTATTCAAAAACATTTTGGTACAATTTCTGGGTAAGCTTTTTGTTACAAATTACTCATTACCAAAATATTTAATCATTCATAGTTGATAGTGGTTATAAAATTATTTCAAACACCATCACCACCAACAACAAAGAAAATACTGGGGGAACAATTGTTGAGAGAGAGGGCACTTATATCGCTTTGTATGTTTTCGTAATTGACTATCAGCTTAGGCGCTCGTACTGTATATGTGTATATATTTCTATCAGAATGTATCTACTTTACCACACGTGACGGGTGACCAGTCGAGAGATTCGAGACAGTTTCAACTGGGACAGTGTTCCGCTGATGGGAGATACCTGCTCGGGGAAAACCCACCAGCAAACCGTCGTGTAGGGGGGCGCCGAATCTCGCCAGCCAGCGGGAGACTGAGAACGTCGGCTTCCGCGGCCGGAGTCTGTATTTAATTGGCATTACGCTCTGAGGAAGGTCGCGGAACAGCGACCGAAACGTCGGCACCTTCGCCATGGACGCGGCGTCAGCCGGACAGCCTAGAAAATACAGCGGGAGACGATCACCGGCACCACCCGCGATAAAAACATATAAATGACCTTAGCAGTTGACGTGCCCGGACACATCAAAAATAAAAAAAGATATTGACGGACCTAGCGATCTCGGATCCCAGCCGGAACGTCACTCGTACTTATTCGACACCGCACGACGATGGCCCTCATTTTGAGCAGATTACAGCGATCAAACCCCCCGAAAAGTAAATATTATATTGTAGGAAAATGTGGCGTCGCCGACGCTGTAAACAGAGTTAAAAATAATTCATGTGTTTAACATTTTTTTCATACTTCATTCTTTCATACACGACTTTGTTCAAATATGTTCTTTCAGAATCTAGCATTGGACTTACCAATGAATCATAGTAGCTGTTAATGTTATTCTCCCGTTCGA